CACCTACACTCTCATAAGTACTCCTACTCCAACACCTTCACAATCTCCTCAAAAGAAGAGGAACGGAAACCCCGAGTTTCAGGTCGCAGCAGATAGGAAAAAGAAAAAAAATCAAACCGCCATATCTCCCAGGGGAAGACGTCTGCCGCGTATCCAGGAAACAAGCAGAAAGGGTTTTCGGGCAGACACGGAATCCAAAGCCGTTGAAAGTGCTGTGGAATTTCCGGCACATCAATGGAGTAGATGTTGAAGCGGGAAATTTGGGACATCATAGAAGAGGCAAACACGTCTCTGAAATTGGTGCCTCCAGCGGCCTATTTACTTTACCCATAGATGGCTGAAACGAAAGATCATTGCTCAGGGAGAGTCACCGTTTTTGTTCACCCATCCCTTTATAGAGCTCTGAAACTAACGTATCCTGCGAACATCGGCGGCTTGTCTCATGCTGATGCCGTCGAAATTGAGATGGGATCTTGATCAATGGGATGGGCTGTCGGTGTCCTCACCCCGGCCACGTTCTATTCTGGAGGACAACCCTAATTGATTTGATAATGTCACTCTAGTTGGTAGGTGTGAGTGCCCGAGGTCTGAGGTCGGAGTCTAGAAGGGTGAGGCTCACTCGCGACCTTCAGCGCTTAGGGGTGAATATATGTTGAGCGCAAGAGACCCGTTTTTCTTTACGCGATTATAAAGGCATTCTGTCTAAGGGGTTTTCTCTTTATTCAGAATGTTTTGATGGATGCTCGAGGGGTGTCTCTTGATTGGTGAGCAAGTCTTTGAAGGCTATGTGTGTTCTTGTCTTCGCAGATCCGGTGGACAGACTTTGCGTGCTGGATGTTACCATAAAGGATAAGGCTCTGCATCTCATCGGGGTTTATCGAGACTGAGCGGCCTGCTTTGTTTCGGCAGATCGAGCCGTTTATGATGACATCATGTCTGGTAGTTTTAGCGGGGGATTGGAATGCCATCCTTGACCCCGAAATAGATCGTATAGGGTCAAATTCGGGTACTAACAACTGAGGCATGAAACCTTTTCCCGACTTTGTTGACGGGTCTGATCTTGTCGACAAATACCGGAATGAGCACCATCAGGGGTTAGTTTGGACTTGGACAAATAGTGGCAGCTCGGCTGCTGGGGGGCGTGCTAGCTACCTCGACCGAGTTTTAGTTAGGAGGGTCGATGGGTTAGGATTTATGAATATCTTTCTTCATGTCCCTCCTTGTCAATGCATTTCAGCCAACGCATAGATTTTCCCATTTTACAGACAATTTCAAATTCAAATCCAGGTGACAGACTTATTGATCCATTGTATTGGTTCATATAGCAAAGAATAACGATCATCTACTCATCTTTCCAATCAAACCCGTCAACTTGGATGGCTAACCGATCCCTATTGCAGACTTCTGCTCATAAACATGTTTGTTTAATATTTCCAGAACACACCTGTGATTTATACTGTAGCTAAATGCAAAATGGCCCCTTATTTATAGTTTATATGAGCGCATGATCTGGTGTGATGAATAGTTTGAACGTGGCCTGTAAGCTCAAAGCCTCGGTCACGATGACTTATGACTTCCTGCTATCACAATCATTGATGGCTTCCGAATAGTTCCATTTACCTAATTTCACTCACAAGGTCAATCAGTAGTATAATTTCGCCCAGTCGATAACATCAAAAAGTTCATTACAAATTCACCAGGGTGGGATTCGAACCCGAGTCTCATGATCGGAAAACGAACATTCCACTCAACCAAGTGCCCATATATGTAGTAAACAAAGTGAACCATAAAATTATATTCTCAATATTTTTAGGCGTCAGATTTTTGTTCTCTAATATTATGACCCTGTGCCAGACTATATTTCTTTTATTCTACTTGATAGAGTGAGGTTCAACGTTACTGGGCACCCGATTATTGATCATCCATGTGCCAGATTACCTATTTTTTTTTAAATACCTCTTTTATAAAACGCTAGATTCGCTTAACGGCTACAAGTTTGATTTTAACGTCTGTAGAGTATTTCCTTTTATCGTCCACAAGCTAAGATGCGAGTCCAATAAAGCAGAGAGAAAACGATATTCGCAATATCGAAACAGGAAGATGAAATCTCAAGTCATTTGAGATTTTGTTTGGATTCTTTTAACATCTTGAACAAAATCAAAATCAGTTTACCAGCTGCTAAATTTCTGAAGGCCGCCAATTTGAGGCTTTAAAAAAATCATTCCTAGCCATTAAATAAAGTTTGTTACGTCAAACAGACCTTCTTTTCTCTTTATTGTGTTTTTATGCGTTGTGTTCTCAATTTGGAGTTAATCACTAAAGTAAATTAAACATGTGACTATGTTGGTTTCATCTATCAGTAAAATGGCTGGTCCGCATTAACTGCACAAAGATAGATTATATTCTTTCTTTCTTTTTATGTGCCATGTCCTTTCAGGACGTAGGCGATCATGGCTCTCCACCTCCTTCTATCCCTTGCAGCTCTCAACAAGTTCCTTCC